TTTTTCTTTATCTATATGTAGCTTAGTTTAGCAACCCCCAAATAACACCTATGCAAGCAGCCTCTCAAAGATCCAAACTGGTAAATAAGATCATTTATTTCTCCTCACAAATAGGCATCATATCCCATAATGCCCTGCCTTTTTCAGTATTGACACACTCTATGAAAACTGGTGGGAACATTGTGTCTGCTCTCGTGGATACACATCCTAACAACCCTCTATTCTAAAAGAAAACTGTTATTTGAAGACGGGATATAGGGTTTGTTAAAATAGACGTGCCTCCCTGTCACTGCGAGGATCTGTCAGACGGGAACAGACGGTGCCAAAACAAAACTAATTCAGCAAACACGTTCCTCCCCGGCCGCTGAATTTGTCAAGAAATCATCCCTCTTTCTGTCTCTCTCTCTCTCCGCCGGAATGCCTGGCTCACCCCCGGCAAATGAAAATAATCCAAAGTAATTAGAAGTGAGCTGGTCTGGTCCTGAGAGCCCCCGGGCGGCCGGGTAAACATGGCGGAGGGGCCGGTGGAGGGGGGGGGGGGTTGGGGGGGGGCGCTGACCTTGTCCACATAAAGCAGTGATTTATGAAGTGCAGGCCACAGCAGCAGGGCTTCTGTCTTCTCCCGCAGAACCAAATTACTGAGGTGGAGATTAACACGCCGCTCACAACGGGCCTACTTCCAGACCCGAGGAAATTTCTCTATTTACATTTTTCTCCTTTCATTTCCTCTGCTCTGTTTTAATGCTAATTGGGCGCTATATGGACACTATCCTTTTAATATAAGCACTAATCTTGCCTCATGATGGATGTGTTAATTAAAGAGAAAGTTGTACAAGCGGTAGGCTAACCGTCCGTTTGAGCTCTAAATGAGTTTACCACTTGATTGAATTGCCCCCACTTTTAAAATAAAATGCACAGGGGGGTAAACAGAGTCATGATGGAGGCTTATTGCAGCTTTTCGCCCGGTGTCAATGGGAGGTCTTGCCGTGAATGGTAGAACTATTTCATGTGGATTTGGCTGCGATATTTTCTTTCTCTCTCCTCTCTTTTTTTCGCTCTTTCCGCTCTCCTGGAGGATGTGCTGGAATGCACCACACAGGCCTACACACTGTTTCCATGTGGCCCCTCGGCTGCTCTGGAGTCAGTTTGCAACCCACTCGGGAATCCCCCTCTTCTGCAGCCTGTCCCATCTGATCTCGGATCTAGATGGGGCAGAAAAATACAAATCACTCAGAAAACAAAAGGCAACATAGTTATTCAAAGCATTGCAGGTCAACGACGGAGCAGATCGAGTGAATATGGAGCTATTTCAGGATCTCCACATTCATGCATGTTATTAAATGAAGTATTTTATTTTTGTATTATTTGATTTATTCAAACCTTAATTTGTGTGTGAGTAAGTGATCTGGGGAGGATAGTGTACAGATTGTTTTCAAAGTCAGAGTAAAGCAGGTGATTAAGTCAGTGTTTCCCAAACTGTGGCACAGGGACTTCTAATGGTCCTTATGGGGTTTCCTGGAGGTCCCCAAGAGGAAGACATAAGTATATGTTGTACCCAGTGGAGGAATGTAACAGTGTATATATACTCAAGTACTACTACTTCCATTTCATTTCCAGTATACTTCTTTGCCACTAAATATTGTACTTTTTACTCTACTACTTTGTATTTATACTCATACTATCTACTACGTACAGACCAAAACACATATTATGATTAGATGCAGTACTGTACAACTAATTTACCCGGTATTTAAAAAGTAGCTTAAATTGGCTTTGATTAACTTCAGCCTAAAACTATTTGAGATGTATAAACGGAATAATAGCGTGTAAAGAGCCATCCTGCACAGTGTCTGATACTCATAGTACAATTTGCTGATACTACTTGTGTAGTTCTAAGATACATTTGCATTACTTTTACTAGTAATGAGTAGAATAGGACCATAATAAGATCTTAATGACTTCTGTAAAGAGAGCACAATACAGAAAAGGGTGGCTGTTTTGATTATAATCATCACTTTTACATCGTTTTTGTTCAATCCTTACTCTGACGAAAATAAAAAAATTGAAATATAAGAAAAGTGATGGAAAAGACTGCATTCTCATTTTTCTCTAGCTTGACTTCACACATTTCTATTTGAAGAATACAAATCCATATTCCTTATTATGAGAAAAAAAGGATATTGCCAAAAAGTTATGCAAAGGATAACAGGCCAATGTTCGCCCATGAAGCTCAGATCAAGTAAAATATGAAGCTATTTGATCACAAAAAAAATCTCCACATTCATGTATGAATTGCTTTTTGCGTGACTGAACTCCTAAAACAAACAAGAAAGCCGCAAGCCAAATAAGCACGAGCCCATTTAAGCAATTGAACCTCCTTTCCAGAATTTCACAGCACTTTAAAGCCTCAGCACTAAACATGCTCCTACGTTTTAAGAGTCTCTTAAATAAGTATGAAATGCTGTGTGGCATGATATAGTCGGAACTAACACACCCTGAAGCCTGGAGCATGTGTTTGCTTTGTAATTTGTTGATAAACAGCTTTTCCACACCGCTATTTAGTGGCTATGTCAAAACCATTATGATAAAGGCATGGCATAATTCAGATAAAACACATCTGTTTCATCTGGGAACAGTGCTTATGGCGGAATAAATATAAAATTAGAGCTACGCCTGGCAGATCATGCTCGGGGTTTATTAACAAATGTACAAGCGTTTTAAATTCACCCCTATCGCTCTTTCCATAGATTCAGAGGCTTTATATCCGCTCGTTCAGGTGATTATATATTCAGCTGAATCTTTCATGTCCTATAGCAATCTGACGCCTTGATGTGTTGTGCTGCAATTCAGAGAGAAATGACCCCCATTTTATAACAAATCAGAAAGCTGAGCACACGGTTACAAACTGCGGTGCTTTGAGGGAAATGTACGGCTTAGAAATAAAGACCAACACGTGATCCATAAGGGAACGGTTTTTTTTTCATCGCACTCAGGGAGTCAATTTACTCACACACAAAAACGCAGACGCCTTAAACTTCCACCAAAGCCCATTTTAGGCAGAAAAAAATGTAAAATATGCAACCTATGATGCCATTAATAAGATAAGATTCACTTTATTAATTCCAAATGATTGGGAAATGTTTTCGTTACAGCAGCATATCATTTGAAAATATAAAAGGGGAAAATAAACAAACATAAAATATAAAACCTCACATAGAATTACAATCTCAAAATAGAAATAAAACAGAACAAAAATATATATACAAGTTGACTGTGAAAGATAGTAATCTGTAGACTGACAAATACACATTATGAAGGGGCCAGGAGGTTACAGCTAACACCATTTTAAAGTATAGGATATTATTTATAATAAGTGTGCAAGAAATGGTCATTTTAGTCACAAAATGTCAGTTTTAATCTGAATTCTGCATATTTAAACGGGAAATTAGTCAAGATTGCGATTAAAAAAGCTTTAAATAGCGACACATATATTCTAAAAATGATGTTAATGTGAAAAAGTTGAGTTCAGGTGAGCACGCCATCTCCTGACGGTGGGGAGAAGTACAACACGTATTCCGTTATATACTTATGGGGGTCCTTTACCCCCGGTGATACCCCACTAAAACCCCTTGTGTTTGTCCTCCTTTCCCCACACATTTCCTCCTATTCTCACACAAGAGCCCCCTCTCTATCAGGATCCTCCATCAGACCCGGAGCAATCACTTTCCCAGATTACTTGTATTTAATACACAATGCATCATAAAACAAATCCCTCATCCTGACAGGAAGAAAATAGAACAGCTCATTCGACTTGAGCTTTCCCAATTTATGGCTAAATTAAAAAGGCTTCCAACAATGGACAAGTCCAGGAGAGGCAGGAAATCAATGAGCGCACGGACCGGGGTCTCTGCTCGGTTCTCAAGGAGCGCGAGACGATGGGAATCGGTGGCAGGGTCCTGGCTTATTTACACATGATTTTTCCTGTCCTTCCTGCACATTTGCTCCGCGATTTCGTAAAACAATAGGCATGATCTGGGATGGAAGGTCAATGTCACAGTGCGGGGTGTTATCCATCATGATCTGCTCTCATCAGCCGGAGCCCTGTCCGCTTTATGAGCTGCTGATACACTCCCCACCGACAATCTGTGTTATTCTATACCACTGTCCGTTTATTCACATTATTGGGATCGGATTTACACTTGTACTGTACATCTGCATCCAAAGCTTAAAAATCGAAATAATGCTAAAATGTTTGTGTTCTTGCAGCTTGTCGTAAAGCAGGTGCACAGAGGCCAGATAATTACAATATAGCAGTATTTGTATTTCAACATTGATTCAAATATTTAGCTCTTGCTGTGGCTAATAATCTTTTTTATTTCATTCAAATTCTTCTCAGATTTTCCTAAATATTTGATAAAAACTCGATGCCATGTTTGTTTCCCTTTTTAATCATTTGTGTTTATTGTGTGTCCGCGGTTTTTATGAGGAAAATACACGAACCTAACAACCTAGCATTTTATTAAAGTCAGACAAAAGCAGGTGATTAGGTCAATGTTTCCCAAATGGTGGCACTTGGACTTCCAATGGTCCTTATGGAGTTTCCTGGAGGTCCCCAAGAGGAACACTTAAGTATATGTTACTCCCGTAAAGCGAGCACAATTAGAGATAAGGTGACTGTTTAACTCTAATCCTCACTTTCTTTTATTAAACTTTAACATAAGTGCGATTTAATCATAACCTGGAGGTAATAAAAAAAAAAAAAGTAGAAAAAGCTCGTCTCTGTTCAGGTTAATAATGTCATAAAATGCTCCATGAAGTGTTGTGAAAAAGTTAGGGAACACGTGGATAATAGCACGCGCTTTGATGCTTCTGTTGGTTCATTAAAGTGTGCTGACTGTGTGTGCAGTGAAGCCCCATCCCGACCTCTCCCTGACCCCGTCACCCTCTCCAACCCCGGGCCCCTGTCACTTTAAAATTGACTGCGGAGAGGAGCCGCTTCCGACCCGGGGACAGAGGCGAAGACAGTCCGGTGTTTGGAGTCGCTTCTGGACGCGCTGGATCCGAGAGAGAAACACAAAGTAGAGGGGGCGATGCTTGAATCCACCAACCAACCCCCCCCCCCCCTCTTTGAATCTCTCTGCTATCATTTAGACGACACATCCCGACTGGCTGAGGAGGGGGGAAGAGAGAAATGAAAAGTTGAATGGCTACTCGAGGACACCTGGGTGCGTCAGGACAGGAGGGGTGACAAGAGAGAAGCGCACACTGAGAATAAACTTTGGAGCAAGTTGATGTTCCGGAGGTGATCTAGCCGCTTCGATCCGTGTTGTCTGCCGGACAGTGAGAGGAGCTCCACCGGAGACAATATAGAGAGAGAGAGCGGATTTACTCCACCGTGTCTGAGGGACAGTCGCACCCGGAGAGGAGTGCTCGTCCTGCGGCTTGGAGACCAGAGAATCACCGCTACCGGGAAGCAAACAAAATAACTATTTTGTTCTTTTTTTACAATACAAAAAATCTGGAGATCGCACCCCAGCTAAGACACTTCGTAGTTATTTTAAATAATCGGTGTTTTTTTTCTTGAATCGGAGTTTTTTTTATCGCTTTTCGCTCAGCAGTTATTTTCCCAAGAGGTTTAACTAAAGAGTTTCAACGGTAAGCAGACTTTATAAAAAAAAAAAACATTATTACTCGATTTGCATTGAAAGCTAAATATGAAATGAACTTTTCTTGGTTATTTCGTTGTAAGTTTGAGCGTTAAATGAGTGAAATGCTGCAGCGTGTTTCTGCATGATGAATGGGCAGATCCAGAGCAGACAAAGGGCTTTATGCAGGCTAAATATTTATTCAGTGGCAGGTTAAATACAAAAGCAGAGCGGAACATTTGGGACCCTGATATTCCGTTTTGCATCCCAACAATCGGCTTCGTAATTCTTATCTCTCGCGGCTTCATGCGATTGATTTGATCTCTATAAAGTTTACAGCTGCTGTGTTATAAATATTAACACATTAAAACAACATCATATCGTTTAGAATTCGTTGAGAGAAATGCTGTAGTAATGTTTTGTAAACGATAGAAGTGCAGCGAGCTTGTGATTTGCTCAATCATTCAGTGTTTCTGTGTATTGTTGTTTTGCTCTTTAGATGCTTTTAGAGTGTTGTTGTTTTGTTGGAGAGAAATGCAATTGTTTTATTCGTTTTTATTATTATTATTATATATTAGGATGTTAATTAAAACATCCTATTTATAACATTAAACCTTTAAAAACAATACGTTTTTTTTCGTTTCAGCTACATTTTCAGAAACGAATTCAAACGTCAGCTGAAGTCAAGTTTAATCCTGAATAATAAAGCAACATTTTTTAACAATCGTTTTTATTAACTAAACAATTCCAGACTGATCAGTTAAAATTCGTTAGATCACATATTTTGGTTTAGTTGTATTTTTTCATTTGTTCTTATTTTGATAGGTATTTGATTCACAGGCTATATTTTTTGTGATTTACAGTTTTTTAAAATATGTTCTGATTTATCGTTGTTGGAAAACATTAATATAATTGACACATTTTTATTACTGCAATTTAAACGACATAAGTCCTTTAAAGCATAAGAAAATATCCCATATATTTAATACATTTTACTAAGTTTTATTACATTTATTGTAGTTTTTTTGTGGACATTGAAAAAAAATGTTTTTCTCATAAATTGCTCTGAAATAAAAATCATAATTGTACAAATGTTTGATGATAGACTTTGCCTTTGCTTGTACTGTACTAAAAGTGTGTGTGTGTGTGTGTGTGTGTGTGTGTGTGTGTGTGTGTGTGTGTGTGTGTGTGTGTGTGTGTGTGTGTGTGTGTGTGTGTGTGTGTGTGTGTGTGTTGTAGAGTTATATTTGTGTGTGTGTGTGTGTGTGTGTGTGTGTGTGTGTGTGTGTTTGTGTGTGTGTCTATGTGTGTGTGTATATGTGTGTGTATATGTGTGTGTCTATGTGTGTTGCACCACAGACCAGCTCCTAACATGTAACGAGTCTTATTTCTCTATGGGAGGTATGTGGTTAGTCAGTGTTTGGACACAGTAATCTGGACTGATACTGATCAAAGTCTGATCTCCCCCCCCCCCCCCTCATCTCCCCCATCTCCCCTCTCTCTTTCTGCAGATCTTGGATGGGTCAGGCCATGTAAAATTCTGCGTGGATGCCAGCAAGCCAGATATCGGGAGCTGGCTGAAGCTCATCCAGTTTGCCCCTGCGGCCAAACAGCACAACCTGACAGCGTGCCAGATAGATGATCAGGTACGTGGAGACACAACCTCGACCAAAAACAAGATGAACATGATCTAAAGAAGGGAAAAAGAAAGAGAAACATGTGGATGACTTGATGTCAAACTCCCACATGGTGTCTGAATCATGTGAGAGTCATTCAGATTTCTCTTTTAAAGCGCTATATTTTCCATTTGTTGTCTTGTCTGGGTGTGTTTAAAGGTGTTATTGAGATCTAAGTGAGATAGACCCACGAGCGGCTGGCCCACCCTGCCTTCTGTTCACACACACAGCTCTCCCCCACGCTGCACCGTAGAGACTCCTCGCTATCTGCGTGTGTTTTCTTTCTGTAATTGTGCTCTGGCTTCTGCCGTGCGAGGACCACAGGGCAGGATCAGAGGCTGCCCGCCGAGATGATAGTTCCACACACTTCCCGGTCACGCTTGCGATATAAACTCTTAGATATGCCAGGAATGTCGCAGTCCCTTTTTGTTTTTTGCTGCTCACCTGGCTGCAACAGAGAGGTGTACACATGGGGGCCTGTTCACCTCAGTAATCCCACGGCCAGACGCCTCCGCTACACAGGAACAAGGCAGCGAGACAAGAGGCTAAACTTTATTTGACATGTGTATGGAGCATACCATAGCATGACCCCGAATAAAAAACATAATCTAGGCAGCGTGCTTGTCATCGCTTCTCACTGGTGGTCCACGTAGATTACTTGTTGAGGGTACAGGCACAAGACTGTCGTAGTACATACAAAAAAGTAGCAGCCATGTAATCAAGGAACAACATACTCATAAATAAAAGCCGGTTCTTGGCCCTAAAATCATTTGGAAGTGCTCAAAGTGAAAGCTTCTTCCTTCACACCTATATGTCATTCTGCGTATAAATAGAAGAGTGGATAGCCCACGCTCTTTTCATGACCAGAAGTGGAAATGTGGAGAGACGAAGGGAAGCTTTCCAGCAGCACTTCCCCACTCTCTTTTAGAAGAGACAAACGCAGAGCGCTCTCCTGGAGGTGTGACTCGCTGTCAACACGGCGGTTCTGCTCGGGTGGCGCTGTAAGGCTCCGACAGGTCACGGACATGGCTGTGATGAGGTGATTGTTAAGTATTACACAGTGTCACAACACGGCACAATCGGCCGTCTTTAAGCCTTCCGGCCGACAGAGGTGTTTTTGAAAACACACTGTAGCCTTCCACAATGCCTGTCTGTACATTTGAAATGAAAAGGCTGAAAGGGGGGGGGGGGGGTGGTGGTCCTGTAGAGCCGCTGTCATTTTTTGATTGTGTGTGAGTGTGTGTGTGCTGTTGTGTGTGAGGGTGCTTACGGGGCCTTTTATATGCACTGACTTGAAACTGTGCACACACCTGTAACTGTATGTGTTGTGTGAGTGTGTGTGTGTGTGTGTGTGTGTGTGTGTGTGTGTGTGTGTGTGTGTGTGTTGTGTGTGTGTGTGTGTGTGTGTGTGTGTGTGTGTGTGTGTGTGTGTGTGTGTGTGTGTGTGTGTGTGTGGCTTCTGTGCAAACACACCTGCAACTGAATTTGTTTCTAGACTTATGAATGTGTGTCTGTGTGTCTGACATAGGGAGCTTTTATTTGCATTGACATGAATGCAGTGTATGTATCTTTGAGCACACATTTACCTCTTTAAATGTAAGTGTGCTCTAAATGTGTGCATAAATGTTTGTGTTTTTGTGTGTGTGTGTGTGTGTGTGTGTGTGTGTGTGTGTGTGTGTGTGCACACCTATTTGTGCTTACAGAGCTGTTATGTGCATTTACTTGAGCTTGTGAAGTGATTATTGAGCATTTGCACACACCTGTAACTGTGTGTCTACATGAATGTGTGTGTGTGTGTGTGTGTGTGTGTGTGTGTGTGTGTGTGTGTGTGTGTGTGTGTGTGTGTGTGTGTGTGTGTGTGTGTGTGGCCTAGCATTACTATACTTGTGGGGACCTAAATCTGTTTACACAGTCACGTGTGGGGACTCGCCTCCCTTATGGGGACAAAATGGAGGTCCCCATGAGGGGAATGATTAATTTTAGGGTGAAGACTTGATTAGGGTAAGGGTAAGGGTTAGGGTTAGGCATGTGTTGGTTATGGTTATGGTTAGGATAAGTCTCCAGGAAATGCATGTAAGTCAATGTAATGTCCCCTGAAGTGATGTATACATGGTATGTGTGTGTGCTCACTCTGCAGGACTGTGAATTGTTCACTGCGGTTCAGATGACTCCCCATGCTCCTCATTGGGAGCTGGAAATGTGAAAGCGCACAGTACCTGACTCCAACAGGTTTTTACTGCTCGAGAAGTGCTGAGTCTAAACCGGCCTGAAACCACACATGACGCAGCCGCACATCAGCAGCTTTCCACCGGCACAGATACCCAGGGGCTACAACATTTTACTCTTCCCTCAGAACCAAATATAACCAACTCTCCTCACCGCCTGCCATCGGCCCAGATGACTTGTTGCGTGATTTATTCGAAGACAGTGTCACACAACCAGAGCAGTTTCCAGGTGTGCCGCTCGTTATTCGGTCCTGGTTCTTTTCAAGCACCAATTTAGCCCCTGCCAGCGTGAGACTGGAACTCGCCTCTTATTTCTGACCCAGTTCTGTTTATCGTAAAACTTTATGACCAATCTCAAGAGGGTGAGGCAGTGAGGGAGGAATGAATAAGTGAGGAAAGAGAGAGGAGGATAAAGCCTGTTTTGTCTGGAGGAACTGTTTCTTTTCCTTTCTCCTGCAATTCATTTCTGTCCACTCAGCTGTAATACAATGGCAAAGCAAATCCATGTTTTGGAAGCAACTCAATCAAATGGATTCTGTAAATGTTAACAAAGAGATTGATATGTGTTGTATTATCAGTAGAATACATTCTTTACAGTCATTGCAACTTATACTGATTTACAATCTTGCAACCTTCTCTATTCATAACTATTTAAACAACAACAAATATCTTGTTCCAAAGTTAAATGTCAACAAACATGGAGTTGGAGAGTGACTTGAATGGCTAATTGTGTCACTGTAGATATCCAGCTGTGTTAATTTAACCGGACTAAAATTAGATATTTTATTTGTTTTCTCTCGGAAGAGAATTAGCTTTACATTTAGTACGTTTACAACACTTAACAAGGACAGGCTTCATTTGAATGACCTTTACGTTTTATTGCTTTTTTTTTTTTTTTTTACACTGCAGTGGAAAGAAATAGGAATAAATGGAGAGGAAGGAGATGGCAGGTGTCGCAGTGAGTCACGCTGAAATCTATAATTAACTCGGGGTGCTGTAACTCCAAGATCCAGTCATAATAAAAACACCTCTTGCTAAAATTATGGTTTAACATGTTCTTCAATTTGGCTTCAATTAAGAACAATTATGTTGCATTAAATTTCTCTCCCAAACACCCCGATTGGACTCCTTTTGTTTACTTCTGTAACATAATGAAACAACAATGTAACTCTCGCGCTTCCATTGGCTAGCGCTCCAACACATTGTAGGTGATAGGCTAAAGGTCGGGATTTTTTTTTAGCTTTTCGCCAATCATAACAGAGCCGACCAGCTAACCAATCAGAGCAGACTGGGCTCTGGTTTCAGACAGAGGGTGAAAAGAGGGGCTGCAGCACAGACAATATGAGACAAATAAAGAGCTTTTTGAACATTAAAGCTGGTAAACATGTCACAGTAGAGACACTACAATTATGAAACCTGAAAATGAGCAGAATCGGGCCCCTTTAAGTATTTTAACTTCGACCTGCTGTTTGTATCTTACTTTAATCATTGATTGCCCCTACAAAAGCCCCCCCTGATATCCTCATTTGTTTGCTGATGCACTGAACTGAAGCACTTCTTGCACAGATCCTGAGCGTGTTTTGTCGTTAGGATAATTAGGGCAATTAGTGCTGAAAAAACCCCTCCCCCGCGCTCCTCACCCTACCAACTCAATTGAAAGGAAAATGGATTAAATGTGTAATTAACATCATCCAACGAGGCCCTGAAGAGCCTTTCATAAGACAGTGCAGAGCGATATGAGCGTTAATCTCTTTCTATTGATTCTCACTCACTTTATTGAGCGGGATGAAGTGGCTCGGGGGCATTTTAGCAAAACACTGCCAGTCGCTCATTATGTAAATACACAGGAGGTGGAGAATCATGAAGTGATTATAACTCAGTGAGATAACAGCTCCAGGCTGGTATTAAATATGCATAAGAATCTTTGTGAAAAGAGATACATTGTAAAAAAAACACCCAGGGAAAACCATGTACAGAGTTTACTTAAGTACTTGATAGCTTTAGTTACTAGTTAGATTTTAGATTTACATTATTAGCTAATATCAAAAAACTATTGTTAAATAATCTTTACTAACAGAGTGTTTTTACAGTTTAGTATTTTTGCTTATTTTACTTTACCACCACTGCTTAAAGGTGGTGGAAGTATTAAGTTTGAGAAACCGGCTCGAGATACACTTTTTGTTATATTCCATGGAATGCTCTTAACATCCCGATAGCAATGAATATCTGAAGTGCTTTGACAACAAATCCTTAAGAAAAATGTCATCTGTGGAAGCCGGCCCGGCTAAAGTAACTGGATGGCCTACCTGCCTGTCAGCCTTCCATCTGTGCACAAACTTATCTCGTGCCCTCATTGGTCATGTGCGCGTTCGTGTGTGTTGGAGGAGGGGCTCTGTGAGGAAGTGGCAGATTTTTTCCGGCTGTGTATTTTCAAATTCTAGCGCACTCCAGCTGGTTTCTCCAAAATTACCTACCCCACCTTTAATAAGACATTAGAACATAAATATAGAAAGTTTGGAAATGCAGAGTTTCCAACATGTCCTTTATGAGGTACAAGGTAAATGGTAAATGGACTGTACTTATATAGCGCTTTATCCAGTCTTTAAGACCCCTCAAAGCACTTTACATACTACATGTCATTCATCCATTCACACCCATTCATACAGAGCAGAGCAGTGTACCTTACTCTAGTAACTAACATTCATACACCGTTGGCCATCGGGAGCAACTCAAGGTTAAGTATCTGGCCCAAGGATACATCGACATGTATCTGGGATGGGATCGAACCCACAACCTTCTGGTTGAAAGACGACCGCACTCCCTCGCAGCCACAGTCGCCCTAGGAAGTGCTCGCTTCCTTTTAAGAAGGGGTGCTTAATTAATTGAAATTTGAGTGAAATTTCCGGCGCAAAGGCAATATATGTGAAACAATCTGAATAAGATATGGTTGTGCTGCAAGGAAGTCTTTCACCGGGGGTAAGAAGCTCAGGCAGGTATACAAGTTTAAAACAAAAAGACAGTTTTATTAAATGAAAGCTGGTACATAAAAAGGCACACGAGGAAAATCCAGGATATCCAGAAAGATTGATAATTAACTGACTGACAGAGAACAATAGGTAAGACAGGCTGGGGACAAAATACATTTAAAAATAAAACTGGAAACCAACACTAAGATCTTGACAAAGTTCCTGCGTACAGACAATATTCTACTTGTTTGAACTCTTAACATATTGGCTTTCTTACGTGTTCGTCCAATTTTCTGGATCAAGTTGGACATCTTAGCATGTTTTGCCATTAGAATCACAAAATCGTTTTGTTTACAGATCAAATGATGGTCACTTCCAAATGTATGGTGCGTGTTGCGTGACCCTGATGGAAGACAGGTAGATACCTTGTAAAGATTGAAATTTCTATATTAAAACAAATAGTTTTCGATGATGCATCTTCCTTTTCCCGTAGATGTAGACGTTAATAGCTTGAGGTATTGAGAGCTGACTGAGAGCTGGTTGAGGCAGGACAGCAGTGAATGGCATACCTGTGAAGTGAGCTGTGGGTGAGCCAGGAGTCAGCCAACAGGGTGCGACCGGGGGGGGGGAATGTGACCGTGTTTACTCTGCTAATGACTAATGGTGTCAAGGTAACGATGTGGTCCGGTTATAGCCTTTGATCCTCTCGTGTTCGTAACCTTTGACAAACAGAGATAGTGAGTTCATACAGACAGATAGAAATAATAGCTAATCAGTCAGTGAGGAGAGTAGTTTTCCATTATGATACATTTACAGATTAAAGGTGTATTATTGAATAGGAAATGGTTTGGGAATGTTCTGAAATCATGTGCTGTTTCCGTTTTTAATAAGAAATGTCCTTTGGTTGAGGTTTGTTTTGCTTTCTCAGTGTGAACTTAGACACCATGGCTATCTTATCTTCAGAAAAACCTGTTGTTTTAAGCCCCTGCTTAACACCTGGCAGTCATGTTTGGTGTGTTAGACATGTTAGGTTCTGACCCTCTGGGAATCAAACACTGCGCCCTCTGTTCTGCTGCTTTCTTATTTATTTGTGTGTGTTTGTACACTGTTTATCTGTGGCGAACCCTCGGGGAAGGGGTGGAGCTGTTGGGGGAATTCCCCTCACAATCGCCCTCAAAACACATCATCTTGTCCAGCAAGTACTGACACACAAGAGCTTTTTATTGATCCCCAAAAGATGGAAGCTACTTTATCTTATTTGTAAAACATACTCAAATGATAGACTCCTGGTCGTTGCTCTTCAGCAAGAACGTGTACTCCTGCATTTATGGACAAAGTGGTTTTGACAGTGTCCATTAATTGTTATGTTCCGAGGCCTCGGTCCAAAGAGCCTCCCTCCTTCCCTCCCTCCCTCCCTCCCCGCTCTCGGTATCAGTCTCTCGCAGCGGATCCCCGCAGAGACGCCTGTTTGCTTGAACTGCTGCTTGATTGTTTCTGAATCACAATATTTAGCGTGGCCCTGCAGAGGTGACGGGCACAGGAAGGAGTGTGTGTGTTTGTGTGTGTTACATGTATGGGGTTCCATCCTCGTCAGAGCATGTGTGTGTTTATGGTGTGGATAGGGGTGAGAGGAGGGTATGTCAGGGATTAAAGCTTTCTGTCGGGACCCTCGCAGTTCAGTTCCCTTTATTCTTGTGGGGGCACCAAACATTCAACCTGAAGACACCTTTTCTAAACGGAGCATTGGGCTGCACAATTCAATGTAATCAAATCGCAATATGGACTAGTGCAATATTCATACGGAATGAATCACAGTACTTTTTCTTGTTTTGAGTTTATTTAACAGGGACTGTGCAATTTCCGTGTTTACCCACAAAACACATTTAGTGAAAAATAACAATACAATAAGAAAAAACATGCAACATAGATGCTTATGAAGGCTAAATATAGGTCTAAATATCATTTTAAATAAAGTATTTTAGAGCTGCAGAGAAATACCAGCCTATAAAATATTGTCTACAGACTTAATAACATTTGTTTTGTACAGAAATGTTAAAACAAATGTGACTATAATCACCTTAATGTATATATTTTCAATGATAATGAGATCATGATGACCAATCCGTCCAATATCCTTAAAGATATCCTCATTTTAAATGTTTTATTAGTTCCATTTGTATTAAACCTTTATTCTATTTCTATTTTGTATCTCTATAAAGTGTCTTTGGGCATCTGTAAAGGCGCTTAATAAATAAAATGTATTATTATTATAATTCATTGGCAGTGAAAATATCGCAATGACTTTCACAATCATGAAGCCCTTTAGGAACATGCCGTTCAAAACATTGAAAAATGCAAAATAGAAACAAGAATATTTGGTGCATTACAGTTGGTGGTTGATGTGTAATTACTCTGGTTTAGACCTGTAACGGGAGTCAGGCTTGTCGTGCCTCCCACTGCTTTTCATGGCTGCTAAGATTTTTTTATTTAAATCATACTTTCATGCTTTACCACAAAGCTGAGTTGGTTAACTCCTCAGTTGTTGACATGCCACAGCTCTGACCCTGCTGTCTTTATTAGTATTTAATCTCCCTTTACCCTACTGACTGAACATCCTGTGCTTCAGTAAGCCTCAGCGGAGCCACTGAGAAATATGTACCGTCCTCTTTACGAATATATCATGTGCCAGAAGTTAGAACAATGACACAAACATTTATAGCACACTCGACAGAATACATTATGATCTGTATTGTGACGGAGATATTTATCATAAGTCTCCGCGGAGCCACTCTGTTCTCTTAGAAATGCTCGCCAGGACTTCAGTCGCTAAGCGGTGTACCTGTGACCCATGCCTTCCCAGAAGCCCCCCCCCCTTCCTATGGCATTTTCTAATAAATTCCCCCATCATCATTGTCACGTTGACGCGGCGGAGGAAGGTAATATGTTAAACCTCCGACGCATGCCAAAAATAACGCCATGCCTGATTGTTTCACGGAGAAAGGCCATTGTGTGTCCATGGGAAGCACCGCAGTCCCAGGGTCTCTCAGCTGATTCTTTAAAACCACTGACCCCCCCCCACCCAAACAAATAGCTGCCTTGAATGCAATAATATCTGCACCCTGACCCTTTATATGGACTTTAAAAGAAGTGTATTTAGTTGGAATAAAGTAGAATTAGTTCTTGATTAATGTCTTATCTAATCGTATCTTCTTGGCTACTGCTGTACAAGCATTAGTAGAGAATCCATTGTTGTGTATACTGTATGAGACGTGTATTTACAATACAGTATTGTGTTTGCTATGATGTTGTTTATATAGATGAATGTCTGACATGATTAAGATTAAGATGACCCTATATTAAATCCCAAGAGGAAATTCCACTCAGTTATTGTTTACACACACATTACACATGCATTGGACCTAAAACCGGGATCCTTTTGCCAATTAGACAAATGATTAATTATGATGGTTAGTTACAAGTTAATGAAGATGTGTTTCCATGTCTCCCCGCTGTGTGTGGTGGTGGTACAAATATGACACGTATTGTGTGGTAGATTTGAGGTCAGTACTAAGAGTAACCTCTGCTGGTTTGAAAATTGGTAGTTTCAGTAAATATTGTATGAAATGTTGGTCAACATGACAACAATCTAAAACAGCTGCGATGTCTTACCACCAAAAACGGCAAAGGACAGCAAAAAGTTCTGTTTTGTTTCATAAGTTTTCATTAACGTGTGATATCAAAGTTTGATTTAAATCTCCCTGTGTTTGTGTTGCAGATCTTCTACAAAGCCACCCGTGAGATTTTCCCCGGTGAAGAGCTGCTAGTTTTCATGAAGGCTGAGGAGTTTTCATGTGACATCATGGCTCCTGATATTCACGGTCAGCATCAAAACACACACTTCTGTCCTTTGCTTAAACCCGAACAACACTTAGCCTTCACATAAACGCTCAATATACTAATGTTCCCCCCCCCCTGGCTGCAGAGGAGAGGCAGTACCGCTGTGAGGACTGTGAGCAGCTCTTTGAGTCCCGCAGCCAGCTGCTGGACCACCAGAAGCAGCCGTGTGGGACGCCCCCCTCCTCCTTCCTTAACCCAGGTTTGTCTTTTATTTAAAAATAGATCGTCCATTGTCATGTCATTATAAGAAGAGTCACAAGAGGGATGTGTAGCCGAACTGGGTTAATATGACACCAATGATGTAAGAGCTCTGTTTCCTCCTGAAGAGACTGAACATGAGGTCATATAATAATGACAACGTAGCAGTGCAAATGAATATGTTTTCCCCATATGATCAAAGTAATTAATATGTTTCTCTTAAAGATAGCAAACTGTCTACATGTGTGTATCTGAAGGGCCTACCAACACACTGTGAAATAAGACACACCATTCTATTTGTGTGGGCTAAAACAATGGGATGTTAGATTTGGCTTTTTCATTTTAACAGTCATCATGCTTAACCTTTTTTTCCCCTGGTGCTTCCAGAAGGGGACAGTGACCTGCAGGACCAAGAACCTGAAGACCTGCGATCCCTGCACATGTCCCACGGCCTACACGAGTGTAAGGAGTGTGACCAGGTGTTCCCCGATGTCCAGAGGTGAATGAACGGCTGACAAAAGCATCGTGTATTTTGTTATATATTCTTCAGATTTTCATTTTCATCAATTCACATGTAGTCAGAAAACCGTACAACACAGAGCAAATGTCTAAATCCTCGTGGTTGTTTGGTTTCCTGCAGCATGGAGGCCCACGCTATGTCCCACTCTGACGACAGGGAATATAAGTGTGACCAGTGTCCCAAGGCCTTTAACTGGAAGTCAAACCTGATCCGGCATCAGATGTCGCACGACAATGGCAAGCACTACGAATGTGAAAACTGCTCAAAGGTAGAGTGATGACTTTTGAAGGTGATATTGACTTTGTACTTGTGTCTGTTTCTTCTTGGAGGTGTTTGCTCCCCAGATAGTAAATCCCCCCCTGTGTGTGTGTGGTTCCTCCCCCAGCAGGTGTTCACAGACCCCAGTAACCTGCAGAGGCACATCCGCTCTCAGCATGTGGGGGCGCGGGCCCACGCCTGCCCCGACTGCGGAAAGACGTTTGCAACATCTTCAGGCCTCAAGCAGCATAAGCACATCCACAGCAGTGTCAAGCCCTTCATGTGTAAGTCACTAAGACCCTACCTATGTAAGTCTCCTCAGTACGTTATAAACATAATATGATTGTGTTGTAGAAAAACTGTGATGTTGCTGCAAAAATACATTTGTATCCTTCCTCAGCTTCTTCTCAAGAGTCAATGATGTGATGTCTTACAAGAAGTACACATGGGATGATATAGTAGCAGTTAAATCAGCACTCTTATACATTGTGATAACAGCATTAAACTAGCATGTAATGTGACTCAATCCCATTGGTCTAACGGTTCCCCTCACAGTGACAACCTGCTAACGTTGCTTTCTCTTTCACACACACACGTTTTCCCAGCTCCTCGCTAAATGCTAATTCCTGCCAACACATTTTGACCTTTCACATTCTCACCACCTCACAGCTCGGATCTGATCTCCTTCCCCTAAAGCGTTATGACCTTCACCCTTTGCCCCGTCTCTCTTTCACTCACCTCTCACACCAGCTCGCAGCAATCCATACACACTCCCATATTAACACACGTATTATAAACACACAGGCCGGAGTGACTGCATCTCCGCTGCAGACCTCTGACTCCTCTTTCCTCTCCTCTCTCCCTCCGCCACATGCACCATTCCTCACAAATAGCAACCACATGTACAGCCCTCTTCCCTCCGAATGGGAGTCCATTTGCTGTAATCAGCAGAAAATATGCAAGTTTAAAAACAACTAATGGCTGTGTAAAAGAAAAAAAGAAAAAGTGAGAGAGCCTCAAACATGACGTCTGCCGGGGAGAGACCATGTGTGTGTCCGGACTGTTTGTTTGTGCGAGTTCCCTTGAAGGACATGTTTTGCACAGTGTTGCACTGTCTGTATGCACGCGATGTGTCAAGGATGTGTGTGTGTGTGTGTGTGTGTGTGTGTGTGTGTGTGTGTGTGTGTGTGTGTGTGTGTGTGTGTGTGTGTTGTGTGTGTGTGTGTGTGTGTGTGTGTGTGTGTGTGTGTGTGTGTGTGTGTGTGTGTGTGTGTGTGTGTGTGTGTGTGTGTGTGTGTGTGTGTCAGGGCTTCTCTAAGAAAGGGAAGCACTCAGGCCTGCACGGTTATTAATTTCGACCCTCTAGCCGTCACTTACCACCGCCCTCCTCGCAGGAATGTGTTTATAATATTTAGTTTTGGTTTAATAAAAGCTTACCAATACACACGCGTGGAGAAGCAGATCTAACACACAGTGTGTCACGCGTGTGTGTTTTTGGTCTGTAAATGTCACAGCTACATGATTTATGATGCATGGGTTTTTCTTGTAGTTTGTGTCAAACACACACAATGAGAGGGATATAAGATACACACACCAAGTACACACATTGCTTTTTTTACACAAAATGTATTACTTACATTTGTAATTAGATCTACGTTTTGGTAGGTTTTGGCCAAACAGATTTTTCAAATATGAATCAGTTTGAAAAGTATTTACATTAATCTTCATCTGTGTTGTGCAAGCTTCCAAGAGCGGGAACAACATGTGCGATATCAAAGGAATCATTTTGTTTTCCCAGATGTTTCAAAAATGTTTTCAACTACCTTTGTACCCTGATTGTATCCGCCGAAGCCAAGCCACAAATACAACTCATTTCAATTGAGTTTTCTGGATCTATTCATTCAATACGCTTTTTTTATACAATATCACATTCTCTCTTGGCCGAGCGGCAGTCCTTTCTGGCGTTCCTCTGGGGTGTTTATTTAAATCTGTTTCCACAATACTTTTTTTCCCGGCTCTTGCTCCCCATCTACTTAAATTGTGCACCTTGTGGCTGGAAGGCATCCAGAGTATGCAGAAGTGTAATCGCAGTGCGAGCCTAACCACTTCCTTCTCCTCGTTTTGAAGATCTCATGATAAAGTGAGCCAAATCAATCATCCAGAGCTGCTCCTAACTGCTCTCTGGTATTGTTGCAGGATCAAAGTCTTTTTTTAAACATTGTAGCTGATCTGCAACATATCCTAGAGTTTAAGCACGGGTCAAGAAAGAGGAACATATTTCCCAAACTGCATTCTTGACTTCTATTAGAACAGGAAGAGAAGACAAGTTTGTTAATTTAGCATATTTGGACAAAGAGGCAAAGTGCTTTACTTAAAACATTAAAAAGGCCTTATTATGCTTTGTGCCTTTCCTGTGGCGTGTTATAGGTTTGTGTGCATGGAAATGGGGTGCAAAGGCTAAAATCCCAGTTTCTCTCCCACACACTCCCCCCCACGCCTCAGTTGGACTCCTTAGTTTACTTCAAGAACATAGTGACATCACTAAGCAATACTTGCACTTCTATTGGCTAGCGCTCCAACACATTGTACGTGATAGGCTAGGGGCTGGACATCTATAAGCAGTTGACCAATCACAACAGAGCCGGCCAGCTAACCAATCAGAGCAGACTGGGCTCTGGTTTCAGACAGAGGGTGAAAAGAGGTGCTGCAGCACAGACAGTGTGAGAAATATAAAGAGCTTTTTGAACATTAAAGCATGGAGACATGTAGAGACACTTAATACAAATATGAACCTGAAAATGAGCACATGTTCTCTTTAAAGCAAGGCCGGAACAACAAGAAAAATTGTCATGGGAAAAAATAAATAACCACTATCCCCCTTTGTTAATTCTTACAAATCATCCAATGTATTAGATAATGTTGACAGACTAATAATGGCGTAGATAATGACAGACGGTGAGGATTTGTCTTAGGGCCGGGTGTAGCCACTGTATGTCATCCAGGGTCAGACAGACAGGCACACAGGGGTTAGACTGTGGGAATGTCACTCAGCGCAGGACGACAGGGACAGTGGGGACAAGGTGAGGGGGCTGAGAGGGGCCCGGAGGGGGGAGAGGGAAGAGGGGCAGCAGAGGACGTGAGACCTGTCCCTGGGAACCGGACTGCAGGATAGGATTCATTCAACTCCGCTTCCTTCACAAACTTAAAATAGAGCCATTGTATTGCGCGTGGCTGAGAATGTGTATCTGTATGTCTGTGAATATTTCTAGAATGTGCCTGCATGTCCGTGTGTGTGTGTGTCTTGAGTGTGATTGTTTATGGACTCCCTGGGAGCGTCCCTGGGAGGACAATGGGCCTAGAGATGCCTGGGAATTTGGTTTGATGTGCAGGTGATGAGTGGCAGCCACTGACTCACACCGTCAAGCAAACAGATTCCCCTCACAATGCCAGGATCTGGACACGCCTCTCCTTCTTATTTTTGCTGGAAGACTGTTGTCAGAGGGCTGATGGGAACAGGAGCAGATCATTCATACTCTACTTCCTCTCCCTTAGCCTGCCTGAAGCTTGCTAACTAGAGATGTCATTATCTTGTGATGTAATGTAATGTGTGTGTAGGGGGGGATTGGTGTGTACTGATGCGCTGTGTTTCTGTCTCTGTGTCCCTGCAGGCGAGGTCTGCCACAAGTCCTACACCCAGTTCTCTAACCTGTGCCGCCACAAACGCATGCACGCTGACTGCCGCACACAGATCAAGTGTAAGGACTGTGGGCAGATGTTCAGCACCACGTCCTCCCTCAACAAGCACCGGCGCTTCTGTGAAGGGAAGAACCATTTCACAGCGGGGGGCTTGTTTGCCCAGGGTATGCCGCTCTCTGGCGCCCCAGGTCTGGACAAATCCGCTCTGGCGATGGGCCACGGCGTCGTGGGGCTGGCTGATTACTTTGGGGCGAGCCGCCACCACAGCGGGCTCACCTTCCCCGCCGCACCAGCGTTTCCCTTCAGCTTCCCCGGCCTCTTCCCCTCTGGACTCTACCACCGGCCACAGCTCATTCCCGCCAGCTCTCCTCTCAGACATCCTCTCCACGCACCTCTCCCGGGGCCCGAGCTGAACAAGAGCCCTCTTCTGGCTCCGAGCCCTGGCCTTCAGGAGTCCCGAGAGCTCCTCAAGGCTCTGCGTAAAGATGGCGGCGGTCACATGGCAGGATCGGAGCGCCATGGCCAGAGCTCCTCGTCCTCCACGAAGCAGCGGAACAAGCAGAGCGACCAGTCGGAGAGCAGCGACCTGGACGACGTCAGCACGCCCAGCGGGAGCGATCTGGAGAGCACATCGGGCTCCGAGCTGGAGAGCGACATGGACAGTGAGAGGGAGAGGGGGGCTGCTCGAGAGAATGGCAAAGGCCCCAAGAGGAAGGCCAGTGAAGGAGGCCCTCAGAGCCCCAGCCTGACAGGCAGCAGTGCTGCCAAAGACTTACCGGGCCCCTCCCTCATCCCACCCTCGCTGGACGAGCACACGGCTGTAACAGGCGCTGTGAATGACTCTATTAAGGCCATCGCTTCCATTGCCGAGAAGTACTTTGGCTCCGCGGGGCTGGTCGGCCTGCAGGAAAAGAAGGTGGGCGCTCTGCCCTACCCCTCCATGTTCCCGCTGCCCTTCTTCCCAGCTTTCTCTCCCCCAGTTTACCCTTTTCCAGACAGGAACCTCAGACCTGTAGGCCTGAAGGTCGAGCCTCAGTCTCTAGCTGAGGACAACAAGGCCCAGGGCAAGGCTGCCACAGCGTTTGACCTCACCACCAAGCGGAAGATGGAGAAATCTGCCACGTTTGCCCCCTCCAAACTCGGGGCCTCCCGCTCCAGTGGGCAGGAACAGCCTCTCGACCTGAGTCTGGGGGGCCGGGGTCGTGGAGGCAGAGAGGAGGAGACGAGGGGGAACATGGGGTGTGAGGAGGAGAAGGCCGTAGTGGAGATCCCGAAAGCTGACACTTCTTTGCAACACGCCAGGCCCACCCCCTTCTTCATGGACCCCATCTACAGGTATTGTTATTCCCAGTAGCGTACCTACACATAATCACCACAGTTGCACATCATGTGAAGACGTTTTCACTACGCTAAATGTCATGTAATTGCTTACTGATAAAAAAGTATTGCTGAATACAAATGTAGTGGTGTTTGGTGTTGTACATGCATTAAGAGAATTCTATTATTAGCAGGGTTGAGAAGAGGAGGATGAGCGATCCGTTTGAGACTCTGAAAGACAAGTACATGCGACCAGCACCCGGCTTCCTGTTCCATCCACAGGTATGTTTCTGACCGGGGAATCAACGGGACCTCAGGGCATTTAGAGCAAATATAACAAGATGGCACACACCTTGTTTGGTGTACACATTCTTACCAATCTAGCGGTATGTTTCAACCTACACTGCCATTCTGTTATTCTTCAATTGATTTTAAAGATATAAGAAGTCTTTAATGACCCTAGAAATGGACAAAAACTGCCCTAATTATTTTCCTGGGCAGTCATGCCTGTTTAAAAAGCTGAAATGTGATGACTCTGTCCATGTAACCCCGGCTACATCACTGCTACAAGTTCAACGCTGGGTTCCCCTATCTAGCAGCATGGCGTTAATACAGTTAGGATAACATTACAACTCTTTCTATAATTCAGAATGATTGTCCAAGGCTGACCAAACTGGATTACTAAGGATTAGCATGCGGCTCCAGCCTTATCCACACTGCTGCCTGTTAGAGCCCATTGTTGGCTATCTGAAACAGATGTGGCAGAGGGAAAGGGCACACTCCTGACACATCTTCCCATAACATGTCTCTAATTACAATATAAAAAATGATATGCTCTTTAAAGCCGGGATTTCTGCCCCTGGGCTCCCGGTGCCAATGTTTCCAGGGTTAGACTCCTTATATATGTGTGTGTGTGTGTGTGTGTGTGTGTGTGCATTGTTTCTATGACGTGTTGCATTGACGTTCATTTGTTCAATCTTCCCCCCGCGGGTGAGAACGGTCCGTCGGAAAGTGAAAACACCACTTTCTCAGGCGTATGATTTTTTTTTTCTCCTTTCTGGACGTTTCTGGTCTGGTTTTTACAGGCTGTTTCATTTGTCTGATTTATGTCCCCTGTCCAGACTGCTGCGAGGGCCCAGCCTGCAGCAGCCACATGGCCGTCCCGCACGCCTTAATGAGGTGTCCTATCAGTAGAAACACTAACAGAGTGCTTAGGCCATCTTTATGACTTTATGATGTCTGGACACACAAATCATTCCCAGAAACACCAGAGTAGGTCTAACCCAGACCAGGCAAGAAGGAGCCCTTCTGTATACTTTTCAGGGGGTTTGTTTTCAGTCACCTGACTCACTCCATATATCAACAAAAAAAACTTTCGTGATTCAGCCTTTTTATTTCCTGGCAGGATATTTTACTGCTAAGCAATACTGGCTTAGATTACATACTGGCATCACATTTGTAGCCTGCTATAATGAGCCTATTGAACACCAGGAAGTGTTGGGAACTATTAGAGCCTCCTATGATTCCAGCGCCATAACTCTGCAGATAGACAGCTCATTCAGAGTGAATCACATCGGGACCCATCATTCCCTCTGTACCCATATGTGTCCAATCAAAAAGCTGTTGATTCATGCGCCACTTCCTGGTTCTGACTGCCTTCTCTTTCTCCTTCTGTTCCGCCCCTCAGTTTCGTTTGCCAGATCAGAGAACTTGGGTAAGTTCCTCTTTAACCTACAGTACTGCCGTGTGTCTGTGCTTTTATACCAAACAGACCCCCTCCCCTTTAATTAACGCATGGGCTGCTTTACAATTTACAATCGACCGGCATTCGCATGGCTTCAGCCCATCACGCACTGACTGGACTTGTGTCTGGCCATAAAACCAGAAATGTCATCTGAATGTTTATATTGTACATCGGAATATATTATTTTATTGCTCTGAGTATTTGATTTGTTTACATATGGAAATATCCCCCTCTCAGATTCACATGAAAGGCTTTAAAGTGGGGATTTCCAGACGAGCTACACCCAGCAGCTCTGAATATATGTTTGCTTATTTGGCGAATGAAGCAGTACTCTTGCAAATGGGTTTGGGGGGGGGTCGGGGGGTGGTGTGTAGGGGGGCTGCTCTACATCAGCGCGAGGGTAACAGTCTCTTTGGGACACTGGCGGGGGGACCGGGGGGTTAGTTCCTCCCTGCAAAACATCTGGTTCCCGATAAAGATCAACAATTGAGAATGCATCTCGCTAATTAAGGCCCTCACAGCATCACTGACATCTGAAGATAGCCAATCAACTGCTGGTCCCCCAGCGACGCTACAGCAACAAGCAAGTTCACAGACACACACACACAGACACAGACACACACGCACACAGACACACACACTGCCCGGGGGGGACAGACAAGGGGGTTTTGGGTGTTTGTGTGTGTGTGTGTAGGTCTGTTATACAAAGAAGTAGGGGCGTTATAATAAAACCTTTGAAAAATCGCTTTAGAGAAAAATGTGGGGCCGTTTATGTCCTTTAAAACGAACATTTCACACACACATATTGTCAAACAGTGGCCTAATGAAGCTGGCTCACCATCCATATAAACCGCTCAGTGGACGAGGGTTTTATTGTTATTCTTTAATACATCTTATTCATTGACTAAAATGTATGTATGTATAAATAATGTACTGCTTGTCTTCAAACAAGTCATTTGAATCTGCTTAGCACTTAAACATAAGAGATTAGAAATATGATTTTGTTTGTCCACCAACGTAGGCCATGAAACAATCAGTTTAAGCTGGAAAATAACAATACTTTAATAATAATTCATTTGATATTAAGTACACAACTCAATCGTTTATTATTAATTTACTTTTCTTTTTTTTTAAGCGTTAACTTATGCATTTACCATAACATTATTCCGATACAAAGTGCCTATAGAAACCAATGAAAATGTTATTCTGCTACAATCAGCCAGACAAACACCTTTTATTTTTTATATCAATGACTTTAATTCAAAGCACGCAGAGGCCGAGCTTGACCAAAGGTGTGAGATTAAACTCTTAATAGAGTGCAGCAGCAGCAGTGGGTGGGTGGAGGCGGTGATCAGACTCCCCAGCACATGGAGTATTTGTTCTGCTCTCAAGAGTGTCTTATCGGACGGGTTCGATACTGCCGACAGCTTTAGGGGCTCCTAATGTTCCCAGGAGTTATGGGCTCTCGTTTAGCAAGACAGACAAACTGAGCATTCACTTGAAAAGAGCCCCATGAAATACACAGTGCGCGTTATTAAGAAATATGAAAGCATTTCACCTTCCTCTTCAATCCCTCAACGCCCTCCTTCTCTTCTCCCGCTCTTTGATTCATGGCATGCAGCATTGGCATATTCATAATCAAACGGACCTGACATTCCACATCCTCCCTCAGTGGGAACGTGGACGGCTGCGGCAGGAACTTTACACTCGGCCGTCACTCCTAATCAGCCGCTCCCGACACCGGGCTCCAGCGTCATCCATCAGCCCTTCCCTCTCCAGGGCTCCCTCTCTCTCCTTCCCCTCTCTCTCTCCCCTTCCCCTCTCTCTTTCCTCTTCTCCCCTATCGTCTAGTCCTTCATCATGCTTCTTCTCCGATTCTCTTCCTCTGTTTCCCTCCCCACGGCCTGCTCCGTCTTGGCGTGAAGCCTGAGAGTGACAGGGGGTGAAAGCAGGAGATGAAATGTCAGAGTCGGAGCAGGGCTCTGGTGGAGGACCCGAATCACCATTGATTTGTTGCCTTATTGAAATAAGAATAAGAAACAGGCTGAAAATGCAATACACGCAAAATAATGCAAATTTGCATGGCCCCTTTAAAGGAAAGGGAGAAAAAGCGCCTATGTGTGTGTGGGATGGGCTGACAGGCCCCGCGGCCTTCTGGGACCCCCTCTCCGCCCTCCGCCTCCCTCTCACTCCCCCGCTCCTCCCCCATCCCGCCCCTCTCAGCACAGCGATATCATTATTACCCGTGTCTGGCCCTTGATCAGTAATGTCAACATCTTTCATATTGACGAATGTGCTGTCTGCCCGCATTGTGCACAGAATGGTTTACAGCCCAGCAGTGGACATGAATCACTCCTCTGCCACACACACACACACACACACACACACACACACACACACACACACACACACACACACACACACACACACAAACATGTATCTGACAACACACAGAAACACACTACAATCACATACTACGCACATGCCTCTAAGCACACCCATTCTACACACAAATACATTACCTATGCATACCTTTCTCACACACACACACATATATTTTCACACACATTGCTGGCAATTAATCAACTACGGCCACCATGCAGCACATACTTTATTTTTCACACACACACACACACACACACACACACACACACAGACTAACAAGTGCACATATCTCCTCAGAGAGTTCCTGATGAAAGTAAATGTTCAGCTTCATTAGCAGATTGGCTGCAGTCCTTAATCCTGTATGTGTGTGACATGTGTGTGTGTGTGTGTGTGTGTGTGTGTGTGTGTGTGTGTGTGTGTGTGTGTGTGTGTGTGTGTGTGTGTGTGTGTGTGTGTGTGTGTGTGTGTGTGTGTGTGTGTGTGTATGTGCTTTTGTTAGAGAGCTAGACTTGGCTGAATTTAACATGCCTGCCCTCCACTCACCATGAATAGGAGAACACTGTTTTTTATTTAAAAGTTATGAATCAAGATCTAACGTACTTGTCATGCACACATAATCAGGGATTTGACCTTGCTGTTCATGAATCTTTGATGAACGTCGTAATAAGAATTCTCCCGGTACCTGTTTTCACTTGATATCACCTGGTGAGCTTGTAAACAAGGCTCGTCCATCACAAAGGAACACGTTTGTCAAAAAAGTATTAATTATATATCTGGTAAAAAGCATTTAACAGTTCATAAGACTCAAATATATCCAACATTTGGCATTTGTGTTTATTTTTAAGTCATCTACAACATATATAGAAATGTATGGATGCTGCAATTATTTAAATGTGTGAGCATTTAAGCCTATTTTTTACATTTTATTGCATCCTGTAATCAAAAAAGGATTCAACCACATCCTGTATTATAAATGATGTCTTTCTAAACTGTCCAAGCTGGGAAAATATATGTTTTTAACCTGTTAAGCCCCAAGGACCCCCTCTGCGTTTTTTTTTCACGACACTGTGTCTCAGGGATCTTAATATTTAAGAACCTATTAATGTGTTATACCAGATTAACGGGAATAATCTCAGCTAACTGACGATACAAACCATTTTTACCAAAACAAAACACAAGTCTCATAAGAAGCATCTAAATCAGGGGTGGGGAACCTCCGGCCCCCGGGCCGTATACGGCCCGCGAGACAATTTGGTACGGCCCTCGAGGTAATTTATAAACACACGCAAAAAAGCAAAAAATGTAAGAAATCTAGACCGCAAAAGAATTAAACAAGCGAGTGCCTGTTTTTCATGGCCAAGGTCAGGGTCCTTGAACACAACACGAGCCTAACGTGTCATCACGTGGTATATGTCTCGTCTGACAGGGGTGTAGTTTTGACGGAGAGCACCAGAACGCCGCTCCGGCACTTCAAAAATTGCAGAACCCATAAGGAGCCGTACACATGCTGCAGTTTTTGCGTGGCTGTGTCTTTAGTTGTAAGCCCAGTGGCGATCTGCTCATCTGTCATACTGATCATACAGTCAATAACTTTGTTGTTATTAGCATCTGGTTAGCTAGCTATGCTAATGAACATAAGAAGCTTTTTCTCCAACCAGTGAGGTAAAGGCACATCTTTATATGATCATTATAGTTATAAAAAAATAAGAGAATAAAGTAAACTACTATATAAAATACTATATGACAGTAAAATAAAATGAAAAAAATAATACAGTTTGAAAGGGGAGTGATTTGTAAAATATCCATAAAGAAAAAGAAATCTGCTTGCAGTTCTGTTTCATCTGGCCTGTTGAGAGATGTATCCATAGATCTCTTAATGTTGCTCTCAAAGTGCACCAGATTGATGCTTTTAACTTCAACATTTAAAAAAAAAAAAACCTTCCGGACCCCCCTCGAGGAGGTTAGGTCCCCCACCACTTAAATCATTTCCACATGGATATGAAACTAAATACATTTGCACACATCTTGTGTCCATATCTTTCTGTTTTGGTGGTCATGCCTACGCGAGTCATGGTAAGATATCTGGATTAAGAGGTTGCTTTTTCTTTGCACAGCATGAAAGAAAGGCGAAATTAATGGGCTGTGATTTTAGTTTTTCAAGCAGAGGTCAATAATTTGTACGGCCCTCGGAGGATGTTGAAAAAATTGAAATGGCCCTTGAGAGGAAAAAGGTTCCCCACCCCTGATCTAAATGACCCCTGAGCGAAAAATGCTAACGCACTTTGGCACAGAACTCAAGATAAAAGTACCCTTATTACTTATCGTAGCTGCACATACAAGATATCCGATTAAAGCTGAGGTTCCACAGATTATTTAGGTATATAGTATCATCACTGAGCGATCCGAACTCGCGACAGGGGAAGCAAACACAGACATCACAACACGTACCTTTACGTAGCTTTTACGGGAGATCGTCTCACCGTAGCTGTCAATCTGATCAAAAGACGTGTTCAATGGCATTAAAACAAGAAAAAACGTTGCTGAATCGGTTAATCCATAGGTTGATAATGTGTCTGTGGCTTTGAAAAAATTATTTATAATCCATAATTCAATTTTTATGTAAAAATCGGAGAGTAAAAGTTAGCTGCTAATGGTAGACACCAGAGTTATGCAGCTTCCGGTTTTGGCTATGCGTCAGTCTCACTCCTTATTTGGTAATGTGGGTGTGTGGGTGGGAGTTCCACGAAAGAGATGTCAATCATCAAAATTGACCAAGGGGGGTCAGAGATATGGAAAATCCACCCAAATGACCCCAGAAGTGGGTATTTTTTGCTAAATCTCTCTAAAAAGGTCAAATTTCACTTGTTTTGCATCAATCTTGATACAGGGTACTTATTTATTGTGGTTTGGATTCCTAAAGCTTTTAGTCTACCAACCCATCATTCAAGGGTGGTTTTACTATAAGTAATCTTTTTTTTTTGGACGGAAACAATCATTTAAATTGTTTTACTGTGTTCAATCTGAATTTACTTTAAAATAAAAACATCTATATTGATTCTGACACTTCTACATCCAACTCACAGATGTAACCTTGCTTTGAGAAAAAAGATTATTAATGTAACCCTTTTAGAAGGGAAGATATGGTCATTTGTTCTGGGAATGTCATTTTCGAGCCTGAGACCTGAAAAACAGGATTGGGGCTTAACAGATAAAGAAAATAGTGAATTTCTCACATAATATCCTTTTTATCTATATTATCATACTATCAAATCAGTGTTATCAAGTGGTGGTGCTTCAACATTCCCCAGTACCATTTGCATGTTAGCTTAGCAATGCTAACGTTGTGTTTCCCGGCACCACACTCACCTCTCTCTCTCCTCTCCTGTGTGTCCTCAGATGTCGGCCATCGAGAACATGGCGGATAAGCTGGAGACGTTTGGCTCCCTGAAGCCGGAGTCCGGCGACCTGCTGCGCTCCGTCCCCTCCATGTTTGACTTCCGAGCCCCCCCCTCCGCACTACCAGAGACGCTGCTGCGCAAGGGCAAGGAGCGCTACACATGCAGGTAATACAGAAACTCCTGTGGCATGTCTTATTCTTAAAATGTTAACATTCATGCTGGTGGTAAATTATCATTCGTCTGGCAAGTTTTTTGATAGTAGAGGTTTGTTGTTCTTTTTGTAATCACTGTTAGAGTTTTTGCGGGGGATTTCAAAAGGTAAACCATACTTTTAAATGTTTTTTTCCCCTTATAGATATTGTGGAAAAATATTTCCGCGCTCTGCCAACCTGACCCGCCACCTCAGGACTCACACAGGAGAGCAACCGTATAAGTAAGACTATCTCTACAAGTCTTAAGAGCCACACACACACACACACACACACACACACACACACACACACACACACACACACACACACAGTCTCCTAGAGCTGTCTGTGTGTGTATATATGTTGAAGAGGTGTGTTTGGGTTTGCTCTGAGCTGTTATAAGGGAAGAGACAGTCCAACAGCAACACGTCAGCTCAATATCATCCTCCTCTCTCTCTCCTGCCAGCATCCCTCCTCCTACCGTCCTCACTTCCAAGCATACACACTCTAAAAAAGGCTAGTCAAGAGTCAGATTTGCACATTAAATCCCGAGTGAATCACTGCTTTCATTCAGCGCGTTCTCCGTCAGACGCAGAGATAGAGAGATGTATTTGAAAGCAGCGATGGATGTTTTCCCAGGGAATTCTTGTCTGCAGTTAGGACTGACTTTATGGGTGTTTTCGTATGCCGTAAAAGCCTGGAGTACTTATCCTGCTGCTAAATAATTTGCCTGATGAAAAATGGTGCCCGTAGTCAGGGTGACAGGATAAAGTGGGGGGGGGGGGGGGTTGGGAAGCTGGGCTGGTTAAACAGAGCGAGGAAGGGGAGGAAGTTTGGTGAGAAATTGGGGTGATGAGGCAGATGTCCCGGCAGCTGTGGTCATTTCTCTTGTAGGAGGTCAAAGTGATCTGCATGCCCTCTGGCTACCTTGCACAACTGTAGTATCATTTATATACTGTCCTATGTATATGTTGTGTCTACATTTCTGCTGCTGTAGTATATTATGTTAGTATATACTTTATTACACCTTTTAAATATTTGAATGCCTCAACACTTAAAATAATTTCCAAATTTGGGATGAATAAAGTATTTATCAATCTACTTGCTGCATCAAGTGCTTACTATCGTCACAAAAATAGATGTTTTTTTGGGGAATAAAGTTAGAAAATTAGTCAAAAAGATGCAGAAACGTGACTTATGTGAAACTTTGGTTATAAAAGCCCTCCCTTCCCAGGTGCTGCTGAAGTAACAATGCAGCAGCAGTTTGGTACACATGTAAAAATGAATCTTGCACATTTACTACATGTGGATAATGAGTAAGCGCTGGCCAGCTCTGCTCTGCTTTGTAGTTTCTAAGGTGGAGGAATGTTGGCCCAAAGCTTGGCTGACCACAGGGGAGAGAGAGAGAGAGAGAGAGAGAGAGAGAGAGAGAGAGAGAGATAGAGAGAGAGGAGAGTACAGAGAGGAGATAGTAGAGAGAGGAGAGAGAGAGGCTAGAGAGTAGAGTAGAGAGAGTCAGACGAGAGCAGGCCTCTCTCTGCCCTGGTCCTGAATAGTCCTGCTCTCCACACTGAACGCTGGCATGCCATTAAACAGCACACCGCTGTATTGTAAGTTTTTTGTGGGGGAGATAACCAGGGGGGGTGGGTTCCCGAGGGAACAGCCAATCGAGCGAGCTAATTCCAGCAGAAGAAAAGATGTAATCTTCTCGTATAATTTTGCATGAAGAAACTTGGCAGGAGGCTCTAATTTTGCAGGGCTACGACCGAATCTGCTGCGTGATTATTTAGTGAGGGAAGAATGCAGTTTTATTGCGCTGGCTGGAGATAAGAGGCAGAGCTGTTTCACCTTAAACAAGCTCCTCCATCATGTCTGGGACTGTGGGACCGTGTGTGTGTCCCATTATGTTTCCCACAGACCAGACCACAGGTTCCTGATTCATTATGCAGTACAGTTGGACTTATGACTCGCAGGTTGTGTATTTTTAACTCAAAGACTTCCTTCTACTTCTTCCTGCAGGTGTAAATACTGCGACCGCTCCTTCAGCATCTCCTCCAACCTGCAGCGCCACATCCGCAACATCCACAACAAGGAGAAGCCCTTCAAGTGCCACCTGTGTGACCGCTGCTTCGGCCAGCAGACCAACCTGGACCGCCACCTCAAGAAGCACGAGAACGGAAACCTGTCGGGTGAGACGTCTCTATCAATTCGATTATCAGCTGTTTGAAGTCCCTCCATGTTTCATCAGGGGAAATCCGAGCTCCTTTGCATATTAGTTCAACGTATTTATAACTCTCGCTGCTGAATCATATAAAACATAATTTACTCCTAATTGGAAACCCTTTTTTGAAGCTGGAAATGTTGATGACATAAATCTGTCATCTACCTCTGCAACAGCACACAGTATTTCTTGAATGAGCTGCTTCCATCAGCAGCAGCGCTCACAGGTTTGACAGCTTCACTCTGACTCTGAATCAGCAGAACAGCAGCGACACACTGCCAGCAGCCGAGATAAACACTCCTCAGAGGAGGGGTCCGCTTAATCAGACACCTCTGCACAAACACAATAACACAAAGATAATATAAAGGAAATGGTTCAACAGAAAAGCTGTTTTAACATCGTTTACATGATAAACGACAAAGATACCTCGACAAGTCCATCATTCAAAGTGTATATTGTGTGGCCAATCATTGCCAAAACCCATTTAATTAAATGTCACATTTTCATTCTTCCTTTAAGGTTCCCTAAGGTTCTTTAAGATACCAAATATGTCACAAATGATTCCACTAAAATGTACATAACATGATGCACAATCAAATATTTCCATATGACGTAATCGGTCTCTATCAAATTTTTATATTTCAGTCATTCAGTCAATATATTACACTATCATAGTGACATACTTATGGAAAACAGACAAAACTGTGTGTTTAAACAGTCGTTATAATTTATTTAACATGAAAATGTACATTTAAAATAAATGTATTCAATATGTATTATGCTGAAGAGTCAGAATCAGAACTGAGTGTTGTTTTTCTTTCTGCAGGCACTGCGATGTCGTCCCCTCGCTCTGAAGTGGACGGTAGCGGCGCCATATTGGAAGACAAAGAAGACTCTTATTTTAATGAAATCAGAAACTTCATCAGCAACACGGGCCAGAGCCAGACCTCCCCGGACCCCTCAGAGGAAGGGTGAGCAGAGCCAGACCGTCTTTTCTGATCTGATCTCCATCTATAGAGCTATACTGGATGTTTTTACACAAATACAATAGAAGCAGAGTGGCAAAAGATCATTTCCGAGGTACAATGAGAAAAGAAAATCCGATCATCATCATCAAATACATTGTACGTAATAGGTAGGTTAAGCGGCGGGACGAATCACAACAGAGCCGGCCAGCTAACCAATCAGAGCAGACTGGGCTCTGGTTTCAGACAGAGGGTGAAAAGAGGTGCTGCAGCACAGGCAGTATGAGAAAAATAAAGAGCTTTTTGAACATTAAAGCATGGAGACATGTCCCAGTAGAGACACAACATACTGATATGAACCTGAAAATGAAGTAAATTATAAACAAGTCCTTTTTAAAGTTGTTCTATATGTTTCAACTTTTGCTGCAGTTTTGACCTCTATACACAAATATAATCCCACAGCAGGGATAAACGATTCCTCCTGAAAAGGTCCCAGTCCTTCATTACTGCATGTTGAACTCTTGTAATAATTAGGACTTACAAAGCACTCTCAGGGCTTGAATAGGTATGAATAATAGGTCGGCTGCTATCAGCTCATTTTGGAGATTTTCCTACCACCCAGCCGGCCCCTCGTTAATGATGACATCATGCTCAGAGGTCTGGAGTGGAGAGCAATCATCTGCGATGTCATTTAAGATAACGGCAGGAGCTCCTTATATCAGTTGCCATTGGGCCACACGTACGCAACAGATATCTGTGTGCATGCAACTACGTCTGAGCATTATGCAAATAAATTCTTGGAGCTGCGATCAGGTCGGATAGCAGCTCTGAGGTCTGCTCAGGACTCCGTGTTTGTTTTCATGTGACTCCAGTTGGTGTGATGGCAGGGCAGATTGTGAGGCTGGATAGAGATCTCGGGTGATTGTGCAGAAGGCCTGTGAGAGCAGGACCGGGGGGGGGGTGGTGCAGCAGTTAGCCCGGCACATCTGGAACCAACATGTCTGCCTACAGGAAGAGGGTAGAGGGGGTGGGGTCAAAGGGTCGCCCCGTGTTTCCTTTCAAAGTGCTGCGCTCCTGACTACTTCTGATAGATACTTTATCCCCAGCAAATTACCACGTTTGAAAGCGTAATTAGCGAATCTGTTTTCTTAATCACAGCTCTCTCTTTAGGAGCCGCTCTCAGCCCTGTAAGCTTCACACAGTACGAATACTGAGGCCACAAACTCTCCGTCCCAGCGGGGGCTCGGTGGAAAGCACTTTATTATCTGCTGCAGATAAAGAGGATTTAAGATAGATACTGTATGTGCCTAATCTGTTATCTGCTCTACCTTCACTGCACGCTCAAATGCATCCCTTCCACATCCAGTGCAGGTAGACTGTTTAAAAACATCCTATAATTACACGGCGATGGACTCGATGTGTTTTGTTTCCTATCTATCTTCTCCTTCCACGTCCCGTTCCCAGTCCGAATCCTTTGTGCAAGAAAACGGCATTTTTTAGAGCTGACGAAAGACGTCCCGGAGTGTAATTAGTGAATCAGTCTAAATGTGGTTCCAGATGATTTACCAAATGGTGGTTTCCTGTGCCGCTGAGACAGAGGGACAGATTAAGACTCCGACAGTTTGGATAGCTCGCCCTCTCTGCCTCCGTGGGGAAAGAGGAATGGGCCGGTTGGCAGCGCTCTCATAACTCTGCCGACAAATGGGGCTGTCAGCTAAATATTTTGCCTATTAGATGAATACAAGATAGTAGAGAAAATAAACAAGGAGAGAGGCGAAGCACTCCAGCTAAGTGCTGCAGCGATCAGCGCTGATGTGCCCAAAGGGGCTCCAGACCAGAGCCTGATGACAAACAGGAATCCAGCTCTCGGTCCCAGACCCTGATCATGCGTCAGATCCACCTCTGAGCCCCAAAACAGTGTTTGTGTATGTAGAACAAGATTCTCACAGGAACAAATACCTGTGTATAGTCTTCATTGCTATGACTTACTATTTACTTTACATAACCAGAGGAGTTTCCTAGCAACTTTCTTCAATGTACAAAAACATCCTCCTACTACTTTATGAAGCTGTATTAATCTGATCATTGTATTTGGTGCGCAGGTTAAACGGCGTCCCATTCGAAGAAGAGAAGCCGCTGATGGCGAGCCGCGGGTCACGTGACTTGGAAGACGAGGAAGCGGAGGACCTCGGGGCTGATGAAGAGGAAGGAGAAGAGCCGGGCAGCCTCCCTGGGAAACAGGAAGACGAGGCACTTCCCAGCAGCCTCGCTGACGACATCATACAGGACGAGATGGACTTCAGCGGACCCAACGACTTGAACCTCAACTGCAAAACCTCTCCTCGGAGGTACGTTCGATCAAACTAAGAGATGATGATCATGTCATAAGTATCTTGAAATGAGCTTATTTTAAATGTTCTGCTTGACCTGCAGGTATAAAGAGGAAGAGGAGGAGGAGGAGGAAGAGGAGGAGGAGGAGCAGAGCTACTCAGCCTTGGATCATATCCGTCACTTTTCTGACATGCGCAAGCTGGATGAGAGCGAGATGAGCGACGGGGACGGAGATGAGGACGACGGATCGTTTGGCTCCCCATCGCTCGCTGACGCTGTCAAACAGCCGCTCTTTAGGAAGTCTAAGTCTCAGGTAACAGAAACACAGACATATCATTGAGGTGGATAAAGTATTCAGATCCTCTACTAAAACAAAATGGTCTTAAAATAGTCCATTTCTAAATGTTTATTTAGGTAAAAATACAAAAGCATTCGCATCAAAATGTAAGTAAAGTGCAAAAGTAAAAGTCCTCATTATGCACGATGGCCATTTTCAGTAACATAAAGTATTATCAGCCAAATGTTTCAAAGTATATATTAGGGCTGCACGATTTGGGGAAATCATCTAATTGCGATTTTTCTGACAGATATTGCGATTCGATTTGCGATATTTGTTTTTAAGTGACCCAACGGAAGTTTATTGTAAAATGCGGCCATATCTCCGGCTAGGTAGGTCGTATCAACGTGCTCCCGTCTCTAGCACCCCGAGCTACGAGTGAAAGAACTAAACTTACATGAAACTTCCGTTGGGTTGCTTTAAAGTCAAGCTTCAGTTTAAGACTCACCCTGTAATAGAACATGTGATGGAGCATTACTAACCTGACTCAGATGGTTTGTTTCACCAAACCATCTAGGAAAGCTCCATTGGAAGCCATTTGGAAAAGTATTTCAAAAGCACTTGGCAGGTGATTGGATCAATCCGTCTATCACCTTCTATCATGGGCCCCCTCTGATTGGTTAACAATGGCTGGTTCATGTGGAGCACAGCACTTCTGATTGGTGTGGAAGACTGACACACAAGAAAAAAAAAGTTTAAAAAAAATTAAAAGTTTAAAAAAAAATCGCAGGCTTTGCGATTTGATAATCGCACCATTTAAAATTGATTAATCGTTCAGCCCTAGTATATATACAGTAAAAAATCGTATATTATCCTGTTTTTATCACTTATCAATAAATGTAATGGAGCAAAAAGTACTATATTGCCTCTAAAATGTAGCAGAGTATACAAGTATAAAGTAGCACAAAATGGAAATATTCAAGTAACTTTTCCAAATAATACTGAAGTGCATCATATGGGTTAAAAACCTGTTAAACCCCAAGGTCCCCGCCGGCGGGGACCTTGGGGTTTAACATGTTTTTAATATCAGCTAACTGACGATACAAACCATTTTTACCAAAACAAAACACAAGTCTCATAAGAAGCATCTAAATGACCCCTTAGCGAAAAATGCTAACGGACATTGGCACAGAACTCAAGATAAAAGTACCCTTATTACTTATCGTAGCTGCACATACAAGATATCCGATTAAAGCTGAGGTTCCACAGATTATTTAGGTATATAGTATCATCACTGAGTGATCCGAACTCGCGACAGGGGAAGCAAACACAGACATCACAACACGTACCTTTACGGAGCTTCTAGGGGAGATGTCTCACCGTAGCTGTCAATCTGATCAAAAGACGTGTTCAATGGCATTAAAACGAGAAAAAACGCAGCTGAATCGGTTAATCCATAGGTTTTTAACGTCTCGGTATAAAAAAAATATTTCATTTATAATCCATAATTCCATTTTTATGCAAAAATCACAGAGCAAAAGTTAGCTGCTAATGGTAGCCACCAGAGTGGCTGCTGCTTCCGGTCTTTGCTATGCAGCAGTCTAACCATGGTCTAACACACACACACATTACCAAATAAGGGCTATGTGGGAGTTCCCCTCGATTCCATTGGCTCTGACGGTCAGAAAGATATGTCACATGTCAAAATCCAGCAAGGGGGGCCAGAGATATGGAAAATCCACCCAAATGGCCCCAGAAGAGGGTTTTTTTTGCTAAATCTGTCTAAAAAGGTCAAATATCACTTGTTTTGCATCAATCTTGATACAGGGTACTTATTATATGCGGTACTTTTGATTCCTAAAGCTTTAGTCTACTAACCCATCATCCAAGGTTAGTTTTCACTATAAGTACAAAATATGTTTTGGACGGGCACTATAATTTACAGTTTTTTACCATGTTCAATCTGAATTTTCTTTAAAATAAAAAACATCTATATGTATTCTGACTTTTCTACATCCAACTCACAGATGTAACCTTGCTTTGAGAAAAAAGATTATTAATTTAACCCTTTTAGAAGGGAAGATATGGTCATTTGTTCTGGGAATGTCATTTTCGAGCCTGAAACCTGAAAAACAGGCTCAGGGTTTAAAGTACATGTTTTCCTCCACTGTCTGTTTACCTACATAATGGACTTAAAATCACACTGTACATTTTAAATTCATATATTCATTTTAATATTTAATATTCCATCGCTGACATACTTAAGTATATATAATAACTTGCTTTATCATTTGTTATTGTTAATTTGTAAATTCAACATGTATATTCTCTTGTTTATTTCTAGTCTTTACATTTGTATTGTACAATGCCATGTCTTTTTATGCTGCTGCAACACAACAATTTCCCTAATTGGGATCAATAAAGTACTATCTTATCTTATCTTATAATGGAAATCTGCTTCAAAGCATTTAGGTAAATGTTACGTCCCACTAGGGCTGGGCGATTTGGCCTAAAAATAAAATCGCGATTTTTTTTTTCTAACTAATGGACAATTTTCGATTTAAACCTTGATTTTTTTTCTGTTTTTTTCTAAACAAACCAGACCAAGGCAACATTTAAATACATATTTTCTTTATTAACACAATACAAATAAATGAGATTACCAAGTAGTCTAGGCCTATGTGAACAAATCAGTTGTTCAAGAATAAAAATAATAAAATAAAAACAGCACCACGGCACTTGGCTGTCATTAATGTGCAAAGATTATTTTTAAATCAAACTGAAAAAAAGATCTCTTTTAGGCCATCCCTGAAAAAACTTGTAAAATGAAATACAACAAATAATAAATAATGATAATGAAATGAATAATACAAAAATACCCTCAAACAAAATAACATCCCTTTAACTTTCTAGGAAGTTGTCTACAGGTTTTTCGCGAGGAAGACAAGCCTGTCTACTGCCTCTGGCTTGAGGCATGCTCTTTGGCATGTTACAATGTTACCCCCCGTACTGAAAACCCTCTCCGAAGGGTGGCAGGAATTTCTTGGCCAGATTACTCAGTCTTGGGAAGTTAGCTTCATGTAGCTTCCACCACTGCAGTGGGTCTGTATCAGGGTCTGTCTCAGACGACAACAAATAGGATGACAGCTCAGCTTCAATTTTGTCCTGCTCTGACTGGGAGGTAGACGACACTGTCAGTAGTGATGTGTGGGTCGCGAACGAGCCGGCTCAAAGAGCCGGTTCTTTTAAGTGAACGACGGGAGCCGGCTCTCGCCCGCGAACGAGCCGTGTTTTTGTTTTTTTTGCGGAGGGATCTAGATCGGCATGAAGGCACATTATGCAATGTGCACATTATCCCGCTTATTACACATGGCCACATTCTCAACAAAGTAACGACATGACTCCCAATATTAATTGAAATGCTTTTATGGATTTAGAAAATGATTTTATTGACTTAAAAAATAGTTGTATGTATTGATTTAAATTGACATGCATCCGCTAAGAAAAGTAGTCCGTTGTTACTGTTTGAACTTTTTGAGGAGCCATTTGATTACAGATTTGAAAACATCGTTGCTTGCTTTAAAAGTAGCACACTTCATGATGTCAGACCTTGGGAAGTATCTAGATATCCCTGCCCTAATGCCAAAGTAACTGCCAACTGAATATGTGTCGCCGTTTGATGTCTATGTCTGGACCGCTGCGTAAAAAGGAGGGTTTCTGCCCCATTACTTCTCTTCTTACTTCTATAAGAATTAAACACGGAGGACGGAGATCTCTTTTCCTCCCCCTCTACAGACCGCCCAGCAGCTGATCTCAGAGCACGCTCCCCTCTCCTGCAGGGGGGCGTGGTCAGCTGCAGCTCACAGAATCAGCCCCTCCAAAAACAGCGCTGGAAAAAGCAAATGGAGCGAAATGAGGCATGGCTAAAATGCAAGATATTTTGGTATTTTGAAGAAAAAAAAATATTTATATACTTTATATAGGTCGATACAGTAGCCCCTTTTTTTTAAATAGTTTGTATAGGTGTTGCTATCTGTTTTGTATAGCGTGGTTCTACAAGCAAGTCAATGCATTCATTGGGTGGTATCAGAGATTTACACGGGTCTGTAAATGCAATGAAAACAATTGGCCACAGCAAATCATTTATATTAAACTTTATTTACTTTATTTACTCTTGAATACTTCAGTACAAAGGATGTATTGAATAATTTAAGTGATATATGTGTACACAGAGCTGCAGATCGGGTAGTCACAGGCAATGTGTCTGAGTTTTGTGCGCGTTCTGGAAAGTGAGAGAGTAAGCTACTACGGAGTCCCTTAAAGCAAAACAAATCTGCGGAGTCTAGAAATGTTTTTAAATCGCGATTTTTCGGTTCAGCCATTTCACAAACCGTAGGAAAGTAAAAATGCAAATTAATCGTTAAAACCGAAAAAATCGCCCAGCCCTACGTCCCACTAAGGTCTAGGACCTGGAGACAGTAACACACAACAACCAATAACTGAGGAAAGCTGAGTAAACTTTAACACAAATGTGCATTCCTTTTAAACAAAAAGCTGTAACCCCTGTCCCTCCCTCAGGCGTATGCCATGATGCTGTCCCTGGCTGAGAAGGACTCTCTGCACCCGGCCTCCCACACCCCGGCCACCATGTGGCACAGTCTGGCCCGGGCAGCTGCTGAGTCCAGTGCCATCCAGTCCCTGAGCCACGTATGATGACACCCCTTCAGCGCTTCCCTTTCACATTTCAACCCCCTAAAAACCTGACCTATGGCACTGGGAGCCCACTGCAGGGTCCACAGAGTGACTGCTGAGCAGAACCACGGCCCACCTTGACTGCTGAGCGGAGCCTCACACCGAGCAGGGACCCCCAACACCTCCAACAGATAGAGAGCAACACGTGCCTCTGAGAATTGACTTCTTACACCAACCAGGATGATAGCAAAGATAATGATCGTGGTGAAAATAATAATAATAGCTGTATTTATTCTGCTGAATTTCTATGTTTTGCACAGCGAAGGCAGCTGGTGGACATGGAAGATGGATGTGCTGATGTATCAATGCTACACATGTATAGCCCAGCACATAGAGAGGGAGGAGAACAGTTGATGTGGTCGTGTCTGTAAGACAGCCGGTCTCCGCCTTGTTTCACTGTGCGTAAGAGCCCTGACAAAAGCATCATTAAATCATATTACAAGAATCCCCCCTTTATTAACCCCCAGAGATCCACAGGTGTTTCTCATAAAGACATGTACTTGATGATAAAAAAAAAATGAAGGGTGGGGCTAGCAGCCTCGAATGAAAACCGCTCCATGTACGGACAGCGCTAGAGGCGCTTCAATATCACTGAAGTCACTGAAGAACAAATATAAAAAAAGTAATTGCTGAACTGAAATCAGGCCAGTTTCCCATCTGCGTTTTCATGGCTGCGTGTGTCTGCACAATCATAGCACTGTACACGAGTGTCTCTGTTCTCTCCATCTGCCCGCCTGCGCTATCTGTGAAAGGATATAAATAGATTGTCTTTTTAGTGGAAGAGAAGAAAACACTTTTTACTGAAATAGTAGCCAGTGCTGAAGTTAATTGTTGTTCTGTAAAGGGCATAAGTCTTCTTTCCCAATCCATCCTAGTCAGCCAACAATACCACTAAATAGCCTGAATGCTAGTCGTTAGCTACTCCATGCTCGTGTGTCTTTCATTTTTTAGACAATCATGATTTTGTTTCCATTTTTTTCGTTGGTGTTGTTGTTGTTATTTGCTGTTGTATGTTGAGAATTGTATTTATTTCTTGGCAAACTGTAGTTTGTTTACTGAATAGCACTGCTCTTAGCCCGGGTGAGAGGGGGAGATTCTTCACCGGGCCTATCCCAGAGTTCAATGGGGTTTGTAGATTACATTTGAGTGCCGGATAGTATTAAACATACAATTCACTCCTTATTCTTCTAATGAAACCGGTCGATGAATAGATATTACTTAGGGGTTTTTGTTTTCTATGACAATTTAATGATTCAATTGTAAAAAAAAAACATTATAAAGAATAAGTAATAAAAAAAAGCCAGGTATAATTTCTTCATAAACGCATGATTGGTCTGGTAAGATCTGTATCTGACATTTTCTACGGTTGTCTGCAAGCTTGTGTGACGTTCGGTTCATGTTAATCCCTTGTGCCAAATTTATGATAAATAACAGATTACTTTTCATTTATTCTCCCGTTTTGAGGGACCAGATTTGTTTTTTGTCGTTGTTTTTGTTTATAATCGATTTAAAAAAAAGTAATCAGCGAGTTGAGGTACTTTGTTTTAATGCTTTCTACAATGTAACTGTTATGCATTTCAATTCAATACTGTGGGAGGAACAACTAAGAAATAAAGGACTACAATGTGGATTGACATGTCTGCCATTCTCTCTTTTATTCCTCCCCCATTTCTCCCTCACACCACCGCACTCCATACAGTCCTTCTGGCTGCCCATCATTTTGGCCCAAACGGAGATTTATTCTAAGAGACGTGAGTCAGAAAACCACCTGGCGCTTTCTTCTGGCGCTCCCATGGCCTCCAAGAGCGAGAGAGAGCCTGAACTCTGCTCTTCGGGGCTTTGGCTCGCATTGAGAGAGAGGGAAGGAGAGAAAAGGCTGGAGAGGGCTTGAATGTGGTAGTGGGAGCGGAGGCAGGAATGTGTCCTCTTTATTTGTGTCCGTTTGTGGGGCATGATGGATGAGTTGGGTAGATGTGATGACCTGGCTCATCGCTCAAACGCTCAATAAGAGTCCCATCCTGCAGCAGGCCTCCCCATCCGGCACCCCCCACCCCCCCCCAACACTGCTGCCAGCCAACGTGGGCGGACATTGTGGCTGCGAGGGGCGGAGGTTCAGACGCTCCATTGTCCAGGTTTTTTCTTGGGTGGGGGGGTTGAGGTGGAGATTTGGGCATGACAGTGAAGATGGCTGGCGCTGACACTCCACATTTACAGTGCTGCTGGCACCCTAATGGATGGGGTGTTTTCTTAAGGCCTGTCGTCGGCCCTCGGGGCTCCGCGGGGCGTCCAGCTTTGATGAGGTCACGGGGGGTCAGGCAGTGTTGATGAGGTCAGCACGGGTCGTCCAGCTTTGATGAGGTCAGCTGCAGCGACAGTATGATGGTGCAGACCGGGGCGTTATAGAGTGGAAGGAGTGATAATGCTTCTGAGGTTTGCCACCTGTACTGATGTGGACTCGTTTATATGATCATGTCAGGTGGTGAGTACGATTACTTTTTTCACTAAGATTAGTGAGGAACTTAAGTATCTTAATCCTGCATTTACTGATGTTTTGGTCACTTGAGGACAGGTGTGTAGACACATCTTCACCAATACATTTAGTATGCGTTGAATTGCTTATATACACATCCAGCATTGTTTTGGATTCTGTTAGTTTGATTTAATATGGAAGAAACATTAGCATTGTGACATTAGCATTAGCATTGTGACATTAGCATTGTGACATTAGCATTATATGATGTAATATGGAAGAAACATTAGCATTGTGACATTAGCATTAGCATTGTGACATTAGCATTGTGACATTAGCATTGTGACATTAGCATTATATGATGTAATATGGAAGAAACATTAGCATTGTGACATTAGCATTATATGATTTAATATGGAAGAAACATTAGCATTGTGACATTAGCATTAGCATTGTTACATTAGCATTGTGACATTAGCATTATATGATGTAATATGGAAGAAACATTAGCATTGTGATATTAGCATTATATGATGTAATATGGAAGAAACATTAGCATTGTGACATTAGCATTATCATTGTGACATTAGCATTGTGACATTAGCATTATATGATGTAATATGGAAGAAACATTAGCATTGTGACATTAGCATTAGCATTGTGACATTAGCATTGTGACATTAGCATTATATGATGTAATATGGAAGAAACATTAGCATTGTGACATTAGCATTATATGATGTAATATGGAAGAAACATTAGCATTGTGACATTAGCATTAGCATTGTGACATTAGCATTGTGACATTAGCATTATATGATGTGATATGGAAGAAACATTAGCATTGTGACATACCCAGATGAACAGATGCAATACATGCTCAAAACACAGTGCTACTGTGAAAACAATAAAGTTTGTTGTTGCAAAACATCCACTACAATCCATCCCTTTCAAATTGCACGTAGAGAATTGATCTATTGATAATGCAAAGGATATTGTTTGGTTGTCAGCTTGTATCCAAAGCTTGTTAAGCACAGGCCAAGGGTGATGCCAATAAGACTTGAAGCAAAACTGAATCATCAAATTGTTTTTCACTTTGCTAGATGGACCCTTTGGTGTAGGTCTATGCTCTTGTAGTCCCCTTCTAGTGGCAGTGTATGACTTTGCTTCATTATGTCATTTATGCTCAATGCAAAGCTGGAGTTCAGATTAAAACGCTTGTGCTCTTTTTTTTGTTTCCCTTTCTTGTAGTGAGTTATATGGGTTTGTGTGCATGTCAATGGTCTGCAAAGGCTAAAATGAAAGGATGTGCTGCAGCACAGGCAGTATGAGAAACATAAAGACAGTAGCGGCACACAAAATACAAACATGAACATGAAGAACTGCATAAAACGTCCCCTTTACACACGTTATAAGATCTTTGTTCTATATTAACAAATCTAGAACACTTTTGTCTCCCCCTCAACACGGTGCAATGAACAACAAGCATACAGCAAGCTTTTAACCAATCGGAATCATACCTCGACTACATATTGGATCTAAGTTGGCAGCAGGATGTTGCCACCACCCCTCAGCGAGCAGCCACACCCCCCCTGCAAATCAAATTGCCCATGTAATTACATCACCTACATAAAGAACTTCCCCTCAGACAAAAGTCCAAAGGCACTGCCTCTTGAAAGAACACCAAAATATTATGAATAGCCCTAATGTCATTGTGTGTGGGCAGCGGAGGGGACCTTGTGCTGGTCCGATCCGTGTTGATTAGCACATGCCAACGTCACCCATGTATCCTCTCACACTTAATCAACACGTTGGGACGAGTTATGGCCGTCATTAACCCAACGCTTCTCATAAAGGGCTCAGTGTGTATGGAAGTGTGGCGGGCAAGACCTGGGAGTGTGTGTGTGTGTGTGTGTGTGTGTGTGTGTGTGTGTGTGCGCGCGCGTGTGTGTGTGTGTGTGTGTGTGTGTGTGTGTGTGTGTGTGTGTGTGTGTGTGTGTGTGTGTGTGTGTGTGTGTGTGTGTGTGTGTGTGTGTGTGTGTGGGTGTGTGTGTGTGGGTGTGTGTGTGTGTGTGTGTGTGTGTGTGTGTGTGTGTGTGTGTGTGTGTGTGTACGATGGGCACACTGTGGGCAGCACTGGGTGAAGCTCACTCAGCTAATGGTGCAGCTGGCAGCGCCTCAGAATCCATCAGAGTTCATTAGGGTTTCCTCCCCTCCTTCTCTCTTTCCTCCCCTCCTTCTCTCTCTCCTCACTCCTCAGTGTACTTAAGTACAATTTCGAGGTACTTGTACTTTACCTGAGTATTGTCAGCTTTATGCTACTTCATACTAAACTTTACTTTATTCTACTCCACTACATTTTGGATCGAATATTGTATTCTTGACTTCATTTATTTTAAAGCTTTAATTTCTGGCTAATTTTTTATTTTAGTTTAGTCAATTTATAAATAAACTTTAACATATAATTAAAGGTTTAAAAAATCCAGCATCTTTATATAAAGCACTTGCAATTAGCTCTAGCTGTGACAAAACACACTTACACATGAATAACCACAATCCAATCATTAATAATATACAATTCTGAAATGGGCCCTTACGCAAAACAAATACTTTTAGTACATCAAGTAATACTTTTGTACTTTTTCTTAAGTAAGATATTGAAAGCAGTATTTTGACTTGTAACTGAGTATTTTTTCAATTCAGTATTGCTACTTTTACTAAAGTAATACATCTGAGTACTTATTCCACTGCTCCTCACCCCTCCCTTCCTTCCTTCTCTCTCTCGTCACCCCTCCCTTCCTCTTCCTCTGCCACCCGTCCTCTCAGCCCGTGTGGCATGTAACTGCCCCCTCGCTGCAACATGCATCACCCCCCCCATCACAGCTGGCAGCTCTCTCACTGATTGACTTGGCACCCGTGCTGACTCAGACGCCGGGGGAGATATTTTTCGGAGAGGGGGGCATGGATGGGCGAGGGAGTGAGGCCTTTAAGGGGGGGGGGGGGTGTAGTGAGTGGTGCTTACTAACAGTTGGCACAAGTGGGAAGTCACCAATCATCACGTTTCTGTTGTGTTAACAATAATAGTAGCACCTCCTCTGTCACTGTTCTTTTATTCAACTAATCAAGTATGAATACAGACAAGAGAGCAGAGTTAGCTGAAGCAGGAGGGCGAGAAAATACCCCCTGTGAGTTATTAAATTACATCAAGCTGACACTTTGGTCTAAAGCGACTTACAATAAGTCCAAATACAGATGCAAACTCAGAGCAAGCCAAACCTTGGGAAGGCAAGTTTTATTTATAAAGCACCATCAACACAAGTATTTTACAAAACATTTTAGGAGCATGAAGATACAGCGGAATCACATATAAAATTACATTTAAAAACGTGTAAGTGATGGTGTATTTGTTTCAAATGGGCTACATTAAAAAAAAAAATGTTAGTTAAATGGAGTCTTCCAATCATATAATATCACCCCTGGTAAAAAATTTAAAGAAAATCAAGGCAATCTAACTAAAAACATGACATTACATGTTACTTGTTAGACGCTTTTATCCAAAGCAACTTACATACTCAATAGTGTGGACAATCCCCACAGGAGCAATTTGGGGTGAAGTGTCTCAGCGACACAACGACATGCTAACTGCAGTGGGGTTTGAACCTGTGACCCCCTGACCCCAACTCCAACGCGCTACGCACAACCCACTGCGCCACACGCCTCGGAACACGATAAACATTCTCCAAAACTTAAAAACAAAAACAAATAATAAAGATAATACTTTCAAGTCCAGAAGGACCAAATCATCAGCGCAATACCAAAAACGAGTACATAAAGTACAAGTACATAAACATAAGAACAATGCATCATATTTAAATCATCCCTAAAAATAACCCTTTAAAAGTCTGTTTTGTTTTATTTCAGTAACACTGGTGTCACTGTTACTGAGTGTTTGGACGCAGGCCTCTCCTTCTCTTCTTCTCTGCTTATATTGCTGGTTCTTCCCCCCTCTCAGTCTGTTAGAAAGCAGCAGAGTTTTAAATTGTGGTCTCCTTCTCTGTTTATTGTTCTCCCTGCAGGCTACGGGTCATTAGCGTTATTGATGGAACTCAGAGCGGCGGGGCACATGCTTTTAATATGACGGGTCTAATCAGGACAGGCGTGGTG